TCAAACAACAATAAGCAAAAGAATATAAATACGATCAGACCAAAGTACAACTAAAGATCCAAGAAGATTTTGCAGAAAATAAAAGAAAGCGTAACAATAGGAATACCTATTATTGCTGCAAATGCCTTAAGATTTGTAGCTACATCAAGCTTTACCTTTTAAGTAAAGTATCACTTTACATACAGCATAAAACAAACATTGAATACTTTGACAATATTTTAGTATGTAAGAATTGCCGCTTAAGCTACTACGAGCAGCAATTCTCTGTTGACTACAACCATAAGGAAGCAACTAGTTTCTTTGACAAGCAAGAGAAACTAACCGAATATCACTTCTGCTGTAAACCTGTAATAACTCAAAAAGTACACCACCTACTGCAAACTAGTTATTTTTTTTGTAATCATGAAGAATTAATAGCCTATATGGTAGTAACTGAATTAGAACGTAATCCCAATTATGATAGACTAATTAGAATAAAACACTGAACCAGAAGACCACCCAGATACCCTGGATATACCATAAATGAATCAATAATTAAATGATTAGTTTAAGCTTATCGAGCCTCTCAAGATAACGAATCAGCTAATAGACCAACATACTATAAGAATTATATGAACGCTCACCTGATAGTATCGCACGTAGATGATATCTGGAATGATTCAGAAAAGCATGATAATGATATCCTAACTATAGAACTATTTGTAAGAGGATTTTATCCAAATGACCCTCTACCAGAACATCAAATAACTGAAGCAGATATAATCCAATCAGAAAACTTAGATATGATTCAACCCAAAGAGTATACTAAGGAAAACTTTCAGCAAGTAGCAGCAACAAATATGTACCCAAAATTACTAGAAGCAATCTGTAAAAGTTGCCTACTACTAGGAACCAGTAAAGAAATTACTGATAGAATGTGTAAGAATTGTGGTTACTGTCTTAACTGTAAGGACCCAAACCCTAAAGAAGACCTAACACATAGATATTGTCTCAAGTATTACAGCCCCGAAATTC